GCTACTCAGGAAGCTGAGGGAGGAGGATTGTGTGAGCCCAGGAGACTGGCTGCACTGAGCTGTGATCATGTTATTACACTCCAGGCTGAGTAACAGAGCAAGAACCCGTCTCAAAAATAAAGTAAGATAAATAAATAAATAAATAAAATAAATAAATATATAAACATATAAAAAGAAGGTAAACTTCAAGGCCTCAGCGTCCAGACATCTGTCAGGCCCTCTGGTATCTGGAATTCCATCATAGAAGTTTTTGTTGCTGTTGTTGTTGTTGTTGTTTTGAGACACAGTCTTGCTCTGTCGCCCAGGCTGGAGTGCAGTGGTGTGATCTCAGCTCACTGCAACCTTTGCCTCCTGGGTTCAAGCGAGTATCCTGCCTCAGCCTCCCAAGTACATGGGACTACAGGCGTGTGCCCCCACAACCAGCTATGTTTTTTTTTTTTATTTTTAGTAGAGATGGGATTTTGCCACATTGGCCAGGATGGTCTTGAACTCCTGACCTCAAGCAATCCACCTGCCTCGGCCTCCCAAAAATATTAGGATTACAGGTGTGAGCCAATGCGCCCAGCCTTTTTTTTTTTTTTTTTGAGTCAAAGAGTCTCACTCTGTCGCTCAGGATGGAGTGCAGTGGCGTAATCGGCTCACTGCAACCCCCGCCTCCTGGGTTCAGGCGATTCTCCTGCCTCAACCTCCCAAGGAGCTGGGACTACAGGCATGCGCCACCACACTCAGCTAAATTTTTTTTGTATTTTTAGTAGAAATGGGGTTTCGCCATGTTGGCCAGGCTGGTCTTGAACTCCTGACCTCAGGTGATCTGCCCCTGTTGGCCTCCCAATGTGCTGGGATTACAGGCATGAGCCACCGTGCCCAGCCTCCATCATGGAAGCTTTCTAGCATCTGGTTATGTGGCAGTTATGTTGTTGCCAGATCACACGCTGAGTTTTCCTGACCATGAGGACAAATAGTGGGACAGCAAGGCAAACCCCACTGGCTTCTCAAAGCGCTCAGCGGTTCATGTGTTGAGCTTGGAGGAGGGGTGGCTAGAAGTGCTAGGCATGCGATCCCCAAGCCGTTTATAGCTTAAACACACATTGCAACAGCCATGTTTGAGGTGGCAACAGGGCCCTTCGCTTACTTGTTTTCCCCATAATACATGTCCTTTTGGCATCCCACACTTCCCGGAGGGAACATTGCCCCAGGACACCCGGCCATGAGCAGGGCATCTGGGGACCCAGGTCCTCTCCACCAAGTCCAGCAGAACAGGGTCTCTTGCAGCTGTGGGAAGATGGCACAAGCCATCTGTGAAATGGTGGGCTCACCCACCTAACAGGCCTGTGACCTGGGCGCATTCCCCAGGGATTCCCACCCCAGGGGCAGGCTACTGAAGCCCCTTTGAGCTTTGAAGTTCTGTGAGTCAACAGCAGAGCAGTCATGGAGAGCTTCAACCATGGCGCGTCTTTTTCAACTTAAGAAGCGCCTTCAGCGCTAGACAGTTCTTGTGGAATTTACAAGTGATACTATGGAAGCCGTAGAGGCATATTGCTGAAAAAGGAATATGTCCCTCCGATGAAATCTTGAAAGAAGCTTTCGAGACACTGGCTTAGTCACACACCCCAATAAAACACACAACAAAAAAAACAAAATAATCGCCCGGTAGTTTTTGTATTTTTTTAGTAGAGACGGGTTTCACCGTGTTGCCCAGGATGGATCTCTCGATCATCCTGACCTCGTGATTCGCACGTCTCGGCCTCTTCCAAAAGGTGCTGGGATTACAGGCTTGAAGCCACCGCGCCCGGCCACACCCCGGCTAATTTTTAAAAAAATTTTTTTTGTAGAGATGGAGTTGCGTTGTGGCCATGTTGTCCCAGGCTATTCTCAATTCCTGGGCCTCAAG